GCTACACCAGACAGAGCTCAGCTTCCCTTCTTTCCCCTTTTCCCCAGCATTCCTGATCAGATAAGCCTGGTTAAAACTGGTGGATTGATTTTAGACTGTAAATCCATATTGGAGCTGAGAGAAGGAGCCGCCTGCCATGTGGAGCCAGTGATGAGGTCAGTGCAATCAATGAAGGGGAGCTGGGATAATGAGGAGACCGTCTCAGTGTGGTGTGGGCCATGGCGGCACAAACTCCACGCAATTAGAGCAAATTACAGCACAGGAGAGGAAACTGTGCGGTGTGGCTAACAAATACCCCTTTCTGCCTGTCACCCATCACCACGAGCCTGACAGCAGATACCTGTGATAAAAGAGTCATCTATAAAAGATGAGGGGGAAGGGGACCACATGCGGTCTCCTCTGAGAGTGTGAGGGGCAGGTCTTTTAAATCAAATCTATTGTGAATAAAAATAGATTTTATTTTTTTTGGCCCATTTTCAAATAGTCTGCTATGCACGTGCATATTGTACTCTTTTGTACTTGGTATTGAATTGTGCCATAGGTGTTTGGTAGAGGGCAGGGAGTGGCAATCTATGCAGATTAGCTAGAAAGTAGCAAAGAGGGAGCAACAAAGGGAACGCTCAAGTGAAAGAAAGAAAGAGCCACAAACTCACTGGGTCAGTCAGAAGAGGTTGCCCAGCAGTCCCATTCACAGTCTTAATCCCTTGCATCATGCTGTTTGAGTGGCTGACCTGAAGCAGCATATGGAGGGGGAATGCAGGTCACTAGAGTTTTTTGAGCTCCCTCCTATCTGTCTGCTCCAGAAAAACTGTCCTGCTCAACAGGATGTAGCTCTGTGTGCCCATCATCCCTGGGCACCAGGCCCACTCCTGCTGGCCAGACCAAAGGTCCACAGTCTGGGATTAAAAAACGGGATTTGGTCTGGGGACGGAATTACACTCATTTTTCTCCTCATTTTGCCGCTTTGTGATAATGGGAGGGGGAAAAAATATGAGAGCACAGTAAATACTGCATCATCTCATACAAATGGGTCTGTTATATAAAGGATCTGTTGTACACAGACACACGTGTGCACAAAAATGAATAAATAAACACACTTGTACTGCCAGTGTGACCTAGTCAGGCTGCAGCACGAGTGTGGACGGAGAGGAATGTGGCCTGGTGAGAGAAACTATTGTGCAGCGAGCATGAAGGGAATCAAACAGGTGCTGCAGACCCGTGCTCGCAGTATTCAGGTCAACACTCCGAACAGCAGATTTCCCGGGAGATCTACAATGACACATTGACCCTCTTTTTCACGCTTAGTGTAAATGAACATATGATGCACGGAGTCAGCATTAAAAACAAGCGAGGCGGAATAATCAGTCTTTTCTGCCCAGTTTTTCCACTGCAACACACTTGGCACAAAAATGCACTTGTAGATCTGCAGAGTCCTTTACATCCAGTCACATCCAAAAAAGGGGGGCACTTCATATCGGAGGAAATTTAATTTGTAGTAAATGGGAGATTTGAAAGAGTATATAGTTCAACAAGTACACATCCCATGTACCTCTGCATCAACAGGGGGGGGGGGATACACTATAAGGCCCTTCCCTAAGTCTTTACCAATGTTTAACAACACAATGTTTCCATTTTCTTGCTCCAAAATAAAAAAAATGTCATGACAAAAATGAATAACTGGGAAGAAATACAGAGACTGGTGTTCCTTTCAGCAAAAACAAACACTCATTACATTCACGCGGCATTGCCAAATCCTCTTCAGTGCGGCAAGCAGGACTGCAGATCACACACCACATGCACACGGAAAAGGTGATCGGTTACCTGAAGTGTCCCACAGACTGAGCTCCACTCGCTGCTCTTCCAGTTCCAGACAGGCTGTGTAGTTTTCAAATACCGTGGGCACGTAGGTCTGGGGAGCAATTAGCAACACGGTGCCGTTAGTGGGGAGTTGTCAGGCAGCTACAGGTAGTGGAAGTTAACTAATCAGTGCTATACACAAAACACACGCACTGACCAATAAAACAATAAGACAAATCTATATCTCTTCTCAATTTGATAGAATTTCGGATCAATTAATCACTTTAATCGCTGCAGCTGCAGGAGATATTCAACGCAGGCCACTGTGAAAGGAAAGCACCAGCTAAGAATGCGCAGAGAACATAATTCCACTGACCACATGATGAAACAATAATGCTACCGATGATATAAAGGTCAGTAAACAGGAAATAAACTTAAAAGCAAGAAATTTTAGGAAATGCGCAAGCAATATGTCACTATCCGCAACAGACGCACTGTTTTCTCCGTGCCGTTTCCAAATCATTTGATGAAAACCCAACACCGCGATTGTCAAGAGAACACAGGGCAGACTTTTCTGCTCATATATTTTACTTCAACACGAGTCACATTTTTGCATACCTCTGGATAACAATCCTTCGCCAGGACTTGCAACATCGCCGTTTTTCCGCATTGAACGTCTCCCACAAGAACCAGTTTACATCTCACCACCAGCGGTTGTGTATTTCTCCTTTCCTTCATGATCCCAACAATGCTCCAGAGGATTTATTTAGCAGAAAAAGGGAAAGACAAAGAAACAGCAGAACAGCCCAGCAATTGTTGTCCCAGCTTGACTGAGAAACCCGGTGTCTCGCTCTCGAAGGATGCCCGCAGTTGATCTGATTGAATTTGCCACTGCGGCTCTTTATACAGGCAAGCAGCAGCCAATAGGAGCGCAACATTCCACAGGCTCCCTTTACTGCACTCGAGTTATTCTGTCTGGGAGGATGTGACAGCAGATATCTCGAAATACTTCCAAGATTATTGTGCAAGAAAGAAAGTGTAATCGATTTAGACGCATTTGTCCACGAGTAGGACTAAAAAATTGTAATCTCCCTGTGCAATCATCGGTTTTATTTTTTAACATAGAAGATTAAAGAACTCTGCAGCCACCCCCTGCAGACTGTTATTTTGTCACCTGTGTGTCTTGTCACAAACTGATTGATTAAATTGACTCGACTGGCTGAATCGATAGCACCACTGGCTGAGAACAATGGGGCTCTCCCTGCTAATTAGTTTATTTTGATTTGCACTTCAGTCAAGTCACATTTATTTAGCAAACACGTCTCCTTCGGCTTTTTTTTTTTTTTAAATGTATTTTTAAAAATTATTATTAAAAAAATCATCTCTCCCCCATTTGTGGGGCAAATTATGTATAATCTTTGACTGTCTGTTATTTAACACTATTATATTATATAGAAGTGTAATAGTACAAACATCATTTTGAAAGCACTGATTGATAGATGGGAATGGCGCAACGTTTGAATGATTTTTTTACCGATCAAAGGTCTGACCTTTGTCTGTGTGGTTACTCAGTAATGTCATCATGTTGACATGCGGTGGGACGGTGTGAGGCCCCCCTGAGGTGACCATCTATCGGCTTCCCACGGGGTCAAGTCAGAGGCCTGGTCTCTCAAAGCCCTGGAAACACGCAAAAGCTGACTTTCACACCCTGGAGGTTATTACTGTATGGAAACAGCGCCTCGTTGTTAGGAAAGGGGAAATTAAAAGATAAAAGTCAATTAACTTCCCTCTTCTTTGTCTGGCGACCTCCTGGCTAATTTACTTACTGTTGCCAATCACAGCTCTTTCAGTTTTGACCCAGTGGGTCAAAGCAATTTGCCTTTGTTCACAAACAGCTCATATCATTCATCCGTCGAGCTGCCTTGTCTTTTACAGCCTAACGTGTCTCGCTGCCATCACACGTAAGGTTGTTAATAAAGGATGTGACTGCAGGGGGAAATGTTCTATAATGCCGTTAGCCTTTCATTCCCACCGTTGATCACATCTGACCAGGTAGTACTCTCTATTTGGTTTGTGAGGTTTGCTCAAATAAATTGAAGTTTTAGTGTTTTTAGAGTTTGAAGGGTTAAAGAAAAATCTATCTAAAAATCTTGTATTGCTTAGATAACAGGAGAAGCTATGAAGTCAGGCTAAAGGAAGGCAGGGGTGAGAATAACTGTGAGGGCAAGTAATAAACTTGTATTCCACGATAAAATGTGTGTTTTTGACTAATCCAACAACACAGCAACTCCAGTAGAAACAATGTAAAACCTCTAAGCTTCATTACTTACAACTAGAGCAATATCAATATACATAATTATTGCATTTTAAATATTTAATTACAGGTCACTGATCGTTAAATAAGATACAGTGATGCAGAAAGTATGAAAAAGAAAAGTTGCAGGTTACGAACTCTCTCTAACCCTTCTAAACTAACTGCAGCATGACGTCTGTGTGATCATCACAGATGCCCTCTGATGGGACAGAGACAGGTGGCTGTGAATAATCATCAGGCATAAAGTGACACCTTCCAATATGGCTGGTACAGGGAGATGAGGAAGAGAGGTAGGAGGAGGCTGACTGCAGGAAGCATTGACACTTTAGGCTATCACACCTTGATGTATTGGGTGACAGTGTTGGTAGCTGAGAGCTACCAACACAGACTGAGAGCGGCGGCAGTCTACAAATAGCCCCAGAAAAACAAACAAAAGATGAGTCAAGATTCTGATTTTATTTATTTATTTTTCTGCCACAAAATCGTCACCAGATGGAGCTGTAACCCCGGAGGTCTGGCATAAATTTAACATGTGCTACATCAAATGAACACACTTTAAGCATCATTTTGCATTTTTTGAGTCTCTCTGTAAATAGGCATCGATTCGATCAAATATGGAAGTTATATAAATCTGTCAGTTCGTGAAATATGGTTTTATAGAGTACTGTACACAGTACTGCAGAGAGAGCAATGGTTCTCCGGGCTTTCCTGCTTTGCTTTTTCATTTATTTTGAGTCCAGTCCTTTTACCTGGCTGTTTTTTTCTTGTTTGTTTGTTAAGCCACCTAACAGTGATCTGTGCATCATTTGAATATAAAGATCACCTAAATCAAGGGATTAACCAATCTTGTGTCTAAACATAACAAAATATTTAGAAAAGAACCGATTTGAAATCGTATTTTTAGTCACCTTGTTACTAGTAGCCTGTACAAAATACATTGAAAAACAATCCATAGCAGATGAACACTAATTGAAAGTCATGTTCTTGATAAATAAGAAAAAAATCCAGCAAGAACATGACACGGGGCCTGATGATCCATACATTGCTTAATGAAGCCTCATAACGAATGGTTGCAGTGGAAGGATGGCTGTCAAGAAGTTCCTCTTAAGGAAGGCAATGAGAGAGAAAAGGCAAATTACACAAGAACAGAGCCCAAAATCAGCGGCAGGTCAAGGTTGTCAACATGCAAAGAGTGTGACTGGCAAAAGCCCAAACACACTGCCAGTTTACTAAATGCAAACCTGGAAAGAAAAACATCCAATAGAACATTTCCAGTCATGGATCGGCCTCCCCAGAGTCTGGACCTCAATACTGATGCAGTGTGGAATCATTATAGAAGAGAATGGACTCAAAGGCTGGAGGACTTTTCCCGAAGACGTCTTCAAGAAATGACAAGGAAACTTGCCTACAAGACCGATCGAGCTGTGTTAAAGAATAGATGTTAGATGTTAAAGATGTCCATACTAAACATTGACTTTCAGTCTCATTAGAATAAAAAAAAGTCTGTTTTTGCCTTATAGACTGTGTTTCCATGTATGTTTACACATACACTGAGCCTATTTCCCAGTTTTTGCTAATAAAACAGAAAGAAATGAGGGGTGGCTCAAGACCTTTCCAGGGTACTGTAAGCCCTGGACCAATGGTAAAAGATGATCATGTTCCAAATAACATGTATATGAACAATGTTAGCAGATTTGTTTCTAACTCTAATCCTGTGTTAGCCCTGCTGTGCTAACCCTGGTGAACTGTCCAGGGTGTAGGCTGCCTCTCGCCCAGCTAGCTGGGAAAGGCTCCAGCCTCCCTAGTGACGCTTAATTGAATAATACAATAATATATTGCTTACATAGGAAACACAGGTCATAATGAACAAAACAAGTGGCTTATTAGTACTTATATAAATTATGTTAGTAGATTGTTTTTCAGTGAATGATGCAAAAGTATGTGTGGGTTGATTATAGAGATCCGGAATATGTTGTTAAATTTGTTACGACCCCTCCCACCCCTTCTTACTATGCTAAACATGGGTGTCTCAGCCAAGGTACAACTAAGGGAAGAAACTTTCTTATATAGTAGAAGATTTCCACAAGATTTTTCTTCCTCACATTCATCTGCAATTAGTCCAGTAGTGTAGTTGGGCAGTGCTATGGGGTGGCTGGAGGACAGACTCACAACTTTAATTTCAGTTTGTCTCAATTTTGTTTGATTGATGTCAAAATGGGAAACTGCATCTTGTTTGTTGCATAGATAGCTAGAATGCTACTTCTGCCCTCTGTTGGTGGTTTTGTGAATCGCTGATGAAAAGTCACATGGCACACACAAACGTTAATGAAATGTTTTTTTTTATTCACCTCCTCCTTCTCGTGTGCTATTGACAAAAGATGCACCCATTACACATCATCATCAGACACTGTTGGATATCATTTATCTTGCAGACTTGTCAGAAACGATGAGAAACGTTGACATCATCATTAGGCCAAACAGTTTTTTTCCTCTGTATTGGAGGTGGATACAGCATAACGTTTAGTATAAATAATAGTAGTGCAATTATACTCCATCTTAACTGAGGAGATATTTTGATAGTCTCAGCTAGTGTCTCGTTGATGCTAAACTTTGTATTGCATACAGAATTTAGGCAAGTGAAACGCAATAGGAAATGATAATTGTAAAAAATTGTGCTTTGGAAAACCAAAGAAGTATAATTGACTTTTGTATAAATTTCTTGCAATAAAAATTAAGCAACAGGAGAAGCTGAGTAGGTTTTATCGAAAGAAGGTACTGTGCTCTCTGTGTTTCATCAAGTAGAAGTTATGTATCTCAAACCCGGCCCTTCAGAAATGAATCAGGGTGTTAGTGGAAGCAACCTTAATAGTGGTCCTATATAAGCTGTGCACCATTCTTTAAAAAAAGAAAGAAAGAGGATATTACATATAAACACATGCTTTCTGAGGCGCTGATTATAGAATTGTGTACTGGTTAAAACCTGTCAGCTTTTGCTGTTATTGTGCAATCTGCTAATAATAATAGTATCTGCATATTTAATATACAGTATTTACATTTAAGCCTTTATAATGCATATGTAAGTGGTTACATAGGTCGCGCAGATTTAGTCTGAAGAGTGAACGGCTCATGTGACGCTGATCTGAAAAAGCCCTTCTGATGAAACAGGAATACAATATATCATGCACATATATTCGATTATTTATATGTATGATATGTTAGCAGAATTCTGTTGCTTTAAATGACACAAGCAGTTGCATTAATGCGATTATTGAAGTGCTTACTGAGACGCATTCATTTTTGTGAGCAATGCAAGACATGAAATGGATGCAGAAAAGAGAACACTGGTGGTTGTATACGCACATGAAATCTGACATGTTTTTGATTAAAGTCTATGCATATATATAATGTATATCCTGCTATGTGGGCAGAGAATAAGTAATAATGGTTATAAGACCTGGTACTAATGTAAATACATCACCAGAGGTCACCCTCATGTCCAGTGATAATAAAATACTTTCCCAGGCTTGTTAGGTAGTAAACCTTTACAATCAGTTCATGTGCTCAGAGATCTTTTTCCTGTAGAGGAGATGAAGTCTTCTCAGTGGTGTAGTGTAGTGAGTGTCCACAGCTTCTTATTCCCAGAGCAACTTAATGCTGACGCTATATTGACAGAGAGTAACAGCAAAATATTGGACGTAAATAAATAAATGACCATGTTCCTGGCTGCGTAGCTTACGGTGATGCGCTTATTGTAATTTAGAGCTACAATCACCAAGCACCACGTTCAGAAGACACACTGAGGTAATATGTAATTGTTAATTGTCTACAGATGTTCTTGGAAATCATTAATCTTTCTCATTTCTAATATTTCCATTATTATTATTATCATTATTGTTATTATTATTATTATTGGCTTATTGGTTCCAAAGTTTTACTTTCAAACCATCTTAATGAACATTTTGAAGTTAGTCCTAAGTCAGGAGCAGTTGTGGAATAGCTCATGTTAAACATGGGTTATCTGTGATCAATTATTTCTGGGAGGATAAAACAATTTTACAAACTATTTTTTCTTTGGGGTAGGAAAATCATGTAAATACAGTCAAACTTTGTAAAGTGTAAGCATTTAGGATATTTAGATGTGATAACAGACCTTTTCGGGTTTTGCTTCCAATCATCTGCAAACCACAGTTATTATAAGTAATCCTTCCTAAGCCAGTGGACCAGCGTTTATACATTCATAGCTGTGACAAAGATGCATATAGACCGTCTGTGCATGTCTGTGCTTGTTATACATGTGTTCAGCATCACTGTTGTGTACAGATATGCAATCAGTGACACTGAGAGTGAGCTTACGAATTATAAACAGTAGTAACAACAGTTACAGTAAAAAGGTCAATAGAAAGAATAACATAAAACAGGAGCTGCAAGTAAGGGAAAGTAAGAGTCCTCTAACATAAGTGACAACATGATGCCTCTGACATTGCATTTGTGCTGTAGAGAAAACATTTGGTTAAACATTTGGAATGACAACTCATCGAGAGCTGCAGAGATGGAAGACATACAAAGCTGATTTTCTGTCACCCTCTTTAAGTGGCGTGTATCAGACACAAACCCCCTGGAACCCTGTGTTGGGAGGGTGTATAGGTTTTACACTGGTAGCTTTGCTATGCTACAGGACTGTAGGCTAACTTCCTCTGAACTTTACAGGTGTGTGATGTAGCTACAGTGAGAGGCGAATCTGCCTGTGTGAGCAAACGTAGGCTGGCGCACCTTTGTCAGGTGGGAGACGTGACTTCAAATGTAAAAGCGGGGAATGAGGTACGGGTTTAAGGTCACGGTGAGAGAAAAATATGAGAAAGGGGGCAGATAGTGAGTTGTAACTGCACTGCTGCACTGTTTTTCTGAAATACCAGTGCACGTGGAGCTGTAGAAATTGGCCCTGAGTTGTCGCGTGGTAGTGGGAGCAGGGAGCTTTTGCCGAGGGGGCAGCAGTAAGGTGGAGGCTCCTTCTTCTGTTGCAGCATTGATCAAATCATTCTCCTCCTTCTTCTTGTTTTCCTGTTTTTTGTGTCTTCTCTCCTTCCAGCTCACCAGCCTCCTGCTCCTTCTCTCTCACCATACTCTGCTTTTCCTCTTTTCTTTGGCCCAGGTGTGGCTGGAGAAGGTGGTGGCCAGGTTTGGAGAGACGAGGACTGCTGCTGCCCCCTGGTGGTGCCCTGGTCCCTGTGCGCTACGACTGTCTGACCCCAGCTGACAGCACAAGCTGCTCCTGCAGAGGTCGAAGGGGCAAATTTCAAGAGACGGTAACGATAGCAGATCCAGAAAAGTAAGTTTCATCTCACCTACATCTGAAGTAGTGCTCATTCTATCAACTCTTGAGTCTCAGAAAACTAGAGTGGACACAGGAAGCAAAGGATATGTGATTAATAATGCATCTGAAAGTAGTAAATCAAGCACCACCTGAGGAGTTTCTTTTTCCTCTTACCTGTTGGCTGGAGTTAGCAGAAGGTGGAGTTATCACACTTTGGTCCAGTAAGGGATTCACTGGGGCAGAACAGGGGAGGTGCGTAGCACGCCAATAAATTTCCAGGTACTCTGCAAGGTGGTCACATGCATCTTCCAGCTGATTCTCATCCAGGATGACATCAAACATCTCCTGTTGATTCAGAAAATGATAAGAGAAAACTTATACAAAGTCCTTCAATGAAAACTTTTTAAACTTTTAAAATATCATTTAATTACATAACGTGACATACAGGTGGACACTGAGCGAGCTTGTCCCCCGCCATCATCTGGACATTGAGGTGTTTGCTTTGTGATTTCCCTCGAGATTTAATCAACCTCTGAAGAACCTGCCAGATGATTCAGACACACACACACAAAAAATGAACGAGCATGGTTTTAATTTAATATCATACAATTAATTTATCAGTTTTAACCGCATTAGACACACCCCTTACAGACAGAAATTGTTTAAATAACGCTCATGCGTACGTTCAGTAAGAAAGATCTGTAATCACTCATCTGCCTGCTTTCCTGTCTCCATGTCTACCTCTTTTCTGTGCTGTCCGTCTCAATATTGACATCTTTACTCGAGTCCAATCATCTTCTCACCTGCCTTATTTGAGCCAATCAGCCTCCACTCTGTGTGGTTTAAATCTACGCTCTCTTTCATTCTCCCTTTCAGACTCTCATTTGTGCAACCCACTTCCTCCCCATCTCCCACTCAGAGTCACTCAGTGCTCTAAATCCTATCACTGCTGGGATTCTGTTCTGCCATTATGAGTCATCAAAGTCTCAATTCCTCTTCAATTCTTCCAAATGATTTCTCCTCATTGATTTGCCTCTTTTGAGCTCCTTCAAACAAATGTTAATCTGTACGGGGAGTGTACTATTTTAAAACCTTCCGAGTTGAACTTTCTAATTCTGTTATCATTTATCCATCCAATCATTTATCCATCCATCTTCTTCCTCTCATCCTATTCAGGTTTACAGGGAGGCTGGAGCCTATCTTAGCTACTATTGGGCGAGAGACAGGGTACAGTTCACCAGCCTGTCACAGGGCCAACACAGAGAGAGAACCATTCACACATAGGAGTCATTTACAAAAACCAATTAACCTAACTCTTAATTGCATGGACTGCTTTGGACTGCTGGAGGATGCTGGAGTACCTGGAGAGAACCATCCAACCATGTACGTCATTTACCATCTAAAACAAGGCATTTTGTGTACGATCCCTCAGATGCTGGGAACCAGCAAATATTTAAATAATTAAAATAGTGCCACAGAGGTTTAATTAACCACTAGTTTGCTCAGAATCCAGAATATGACCAGAAAGGCAGCTTTGAGGATTGTACTCTACTTTAGGTGATGAGACTTTGACGTAGACAATGATGGGAGCCAGAGAGGTTTTGAGGAGTTGTGCCGGGTGATTGATGGTGTCTGCGTCCAGGACGACCAGCTGAAGAGACTTGGCCAGCTCGAAGATCCTCTCTATTTCACTCTGGACCTCAGCTGTGAATGGCAGAGAGTTGCATAAGCCACTTTTAACAGAGCTGCATCACTTATTTAAGTTTTCCTGTCATTGAAGACAGAAGGGGCATCTATTTTTAGCATCCATCTGTCCATCTTTATTGAGCAAAAAAAGATCAAAGACAAGTTTTTAAAAAAAAATTTCTAAATCTCACCCAGACTTGAGCGTGTGTTGGATCTCTCCATTATGGCTTTCTTGTTCAGCACTGAGCGCTTTGCCAATGACAGATCAGCGGTCACCCGGGTAATAGTGATCCTAAACAAGAAGCGTCTTATCACATCACATCCACAACTGTTCCATTTCAAAGGAGGAGACGAGCTCGTGCTCCTTCTCGCTTGCAACTAAAAATAAATCATCGTCATCGTGTGTGCTTTCGAGCACGAAACGTGCAATGCAGAAACACACAAGCAGCTCGGCAGTTCAGACATAGCGTTACTGTACGCTGCTCTGCATCTGCAGAGAGTGACACAGACAGCCGTTACCCACCTGCCATCAAATCGGTGCTTTAGGAAGTCAAACAAAGCTTTCTGCATCATGTCTGTTACCTAGGAAACAGAAACAAGGAAGATAAGTGAGGGACGTTGTGAGAGAGAAAGGGCTGTGAAATATGCATTCACTCATGCACACGTCTTGCTCTTTAGTATTTCTTGCATGTTTCACTGATTTTAGTGACACCTGACTTTAAGTGTCTGCACTAAATGAGGATTAATACAGCTGTCACACACTATAATGAAGCTGTAAACAGCTGGAAGGACAGTGATGGGATTTTTTAGCTTTAAGACCAATCAGTTATAGCTTTGTAAAGAGACAGAAGAGTCAGCACAGATAAAAATGAGCAGCATTACAGTCCTTCTTTTTTCAGTGTTAAATCAGTTGGATGTCTGAGTGGCACAATGATGTTTGTGCACTGCCAGGATGAAGTGAAGCAGTCTATTTTCAAACAGTCCTGAAAAATGAATGGCCTTTGGAGTAGAGGATGAAGCTTCCACACTGAAACAGAGAGATGAGGAAAGAAGGCAAAGGAGTGGAAAGGAGGAGAGACAGTGCCGAAGAACCCTGATGAGTCGCCGAAAATAATTTGTACACAAGAGACGGAGCACAGAGAAAGAGAATGTGAGGGAATGAGAGAAAGAGGCAGCCTGGCATTCACCACTGGAGCATCCCCAAAGCACATTACCAGAGCAACGCATAAATATTTCAACACACACACACACACACACACACACAAAACAAACAGCTTGGCTCATAGCCTGCACCGCCACAGAGGAAAGAGCAAGGCAGGGAGAAAATGTTGAAGCACATGCCTCACATATTCATCCACCGAGTCATCGAAATTGATGCATTCTGACATTATTTCGTTTTGACTGCAGTGGGTTTTCATATGTCTCATCTGTGATGTGTGCATGTGTGTGTGTGTGCGTGTGTGTGTGCGTGTCTGTTCAGTATGGGAGTATAACACATGGTGTGGCTAATGCAAAGGGGCATACATGCAGTTCTGTAGCTCTCAGATGGATCTAAGATGCCTCCTGTGTGCCCTTTAATTTCATCAGGGTGGGACTGCGGCTTAGTAAAAGTGTTCATGGGATAATGGAAGCCAAACACCCCAGTTTTACTGGATCAGAAAATCCACACCTGATTAAACTCATGCTAGAAAGGGAATCCAGAAGAGAAAAAGAGCAGAAACTAGCTGGAAATAACTCAAACATCTAAATACGTTTAACATATAGTTACAGTAAATATTATTGCTTAATTTCCTGCTTAATTTCCTAATTTTTATTCTTTGTTAATAAAAGCAAAGTGAATGAAAGGCTTCACATAATGGCTAATTCCCAGTTAGATTACTGCAACATTAAGTAATGCCTCAGAATAGCTTATTTGTCTTTTTCTGGAAAAGCGATATGGTACATTGCAGCTCTGTGGGCTGCACTTAGGCACACTGGTACTTTCAGCTAACTGCTTGTGTCAGCATACTAATGTGCTCATAATAACAATGCGAGTTTACTAATTATACACATTTTACAGCAGAGGCTACTATGGGACATCATAATGTTTGCAGCAAAAAAGTGAGATTTTGACCTGGCAATGACTCATCATGAGCAGCATGAATCTCAAATTTCATAAATGTTCACACTAGAGACAAAGTTAAAGGATGGCCAAACTATTGCTGAAATTTGTCGTTTTTGCTTTGCATCAATTTGTCAGATAGCTATTGCAATATTTTCTGACTGGACCAAAATGCAGCTGTGATCAAATGTGTTGTCCATAATAAAAATACATAAAAAACTATCTCTAAAAATACATTTAATATTTAAATCAAATTAATTTACATGCATCAAAACACAAGATTAAACAGAACCAGGCCCAAATAACTGAAGAACAGTACTGATGGCTGACTCACCTCGTAGCCTTTCAACGAAGGACCCACCAGGACCACCGGCCGCATTGAAGGGACCACATCATATGGGGGAACATGTTCAGTCTGCACAGGCAACAAGCAGACAGTGTGGAAGTCATGAAAATTAAGATATGTGGAAGTTACAGTAATACACGATCACAGAGATAGATTTTAAAGTTATAAAAATTTAATAAAAAACATTTAAATTAAATAATCGGAGCAGAGTGATACACAGATGAATACCCCAACATACCTGTTTCTGCTTCTGTTTGGCTTTGAAAACAAACAGAATGAACATTGAGCAAAGAGGCGAAAAGCTAAGTGGGTTCTTGCAATTAGTGATGAGCAGGGGCGTGTCCAGTGTTTGTGAAAGTGGAGTGGAGGGGCTTATGATTCCACTTAGCAAAATTGCAAGTTACTAACTGGGCTAACAAGAGTAAAACATTTTTAAACTATAAAGACTAAACAGAAATGAGTAACCCCACTCTGGAAATAAACTGAAAATAATAAAACAATTTAAAAAAAAAGAACAATAACAATCTGGGCTCTTTTTTTTTGCATTCACTCGAGTTTTTCTTCACAATTGCACAGTTTTGTTAACTGTGTGTTATTCAGGAAGCTCTGATCCAAATTCAGCAGTGATCAAATAACTTTTGAACTTCAGTTTGATTTAAAGTAAAACTCTATAGTAAAAAGATTTTTGTAAACACGTGTTTTCCCTGAAGGTCACATTTTTGCCCAGAAATAGTCCCTGTACGCAAATCTGACTCAGTAGCAGCTTGAAGGCCTGACAGACAGACATGACAGCAGGACTCCTTCAGTCTCTCTCACCTGCAGATGGAGGGGTGGACCTCCAGCCTCCGGATGACGCGTTCCCTCCTTTCCTGTGGAGCAACATAATGCAAAGCTTCATTATGCGTGGATCCCCTAAGGAGGCAATTTAGAAAGAAGGACCTCCAAACCACAGCAACATATGAGCAGAAGTAATAAAATAACTTTACAAAGAGTGTGCTGCAGAGGAAGCTGCTAAAATTAGGACAACAGTGTCAGAAAAACAGAGAGGTCTCTCAGAGCTGCGTAATCTCTGACCTAGCTGCTGCTTTCTGCTCTTGCTTTATCCTCATGGCCTCAAGTTTGACTGGACTGGGGATGAAAGTGATGTCTGCCCCTTCCTTCACCAGTCGACCAATCCACCAGTCATTGTTGTATTTCTGTGTAACAGTGAAAGACACCTCTCATGATGCAAGATGCGTTAACATTAATCAGAGTAAATATTTATTGTTACTTTATTTGTAAACCATGTACAAATGCAGAATTGTAATGGCTCTCACCTCTTTTATGTGCAGAAAGTCTTTGGTTTCAAAGTTAATTGCAGCACCTTGGACTGGACAATCTTCATCAAGGGCCCCACAGTAACTCACATTGGTTCTCACTGCAAATGCTACTGATTTAGCCTGTGGACGACAAAAAACCAAAACAAATAAGATCTATGGCAATATATCGAATGACCTTTTCTTTAATATTCAGCAAAATTTGTATCTGAAGATTAGTTTTAGTTCTGTAGACCCTTACACACATAAAGACTAAAGTGGTTGACTGGAACGCAAGCTTTCAGCATGACTCAGGACTTTATTGCTGTACCTGTGGAGGTAGAGGTGATTTTAAAGCCAATAATTGACCTTTGACCTTGAGGCTCTCACCTTGGCTCTCTCCAGCTGCAGCTGAGCCTGGCGCTCGGCTTCACGCCGAGACGCCTCCTGGTCCTCCTCCAGGGACAGGTCGGAATCAGAGGGTCGACTAGTGTAGGAATCGGCTGAACCCTGAGTGAACGAGGAAAGGAAGGAAAGTCTTAAAGCAGGTGGAGAAGACATAAATCAGCCCAATAAGGTACCTGGAAGCAGCTGTTCAGAATTCCTCACGGCATAGAAAACACAGACTTAGCTCATATGTTGCGGATTCAGCTACAGATAGATCATCATCTACGCATTGACCTCCGTACTTCCCTTTTCTTTCCTTCCTATTCACCTGTTTCTGCACCTGGGTTTCTTCTTCTGCAGCTTTCCAAAGCATGTCACCCAGGGGAATATGAACACGAGTTCTGCAACACTAACAAGCAACACGACCTTGCTGTCTATTTATTCACTCAGACTGGCACACCATACATTGGCAAAAGTCCAATTTTCAACCAAGCATTTTGATAACACATGCTGCAATATCCAGACTTATATCCAATGTCTGGATATGATTTATAATGAAACAAAAACAACAACAACAACATAGGACTATTACCACTGGTACTGCTTTACAATTTAAAATCACACTGTCAGTACTGTATAAAGTCTTGAATACAAGACAGCTTTTTCAACACAGAAATAGAAACCAGGAGAATAAACCAGCTGTACTCCACAGAACCATCCAAGGTATACGCTCAGAGGCAGGGGAACAATATGAGAACCACACCAGCAAACCTGGAGATGGAGCAATACTGGAAGAGCATATGGGAGAAGGACGCAACCCACAATGTCAATGCTCAGTAGCTAGTGGATCTAAAGTGGCAGCACAAATGAACAGACTGGTAATGGATGAAACACACCCAGAATTGTTAACTGAAAGCCAGACAGTCCTGATCTCCAAGGACCGCCAGAAGGGAGCGGTCCCATCCAACTACCAGCCAATAAGCTGCCTTAGTACCACTTGAAAGCTCCTGTCAGGCATCATGGTGGCTAAGATGAACAGGCACGTGGGTCAATACATGAGCAGGGGCACAGAAATGAATTGGCAGGAATAACAGAGGAACAAAACGCAAGCTCTTGGTAGATAAAGCAGTCGCCCAAGACTGCAAGACCAGACTGACCAACCTGTGCAGTGCCCGGATTGATTACAAGAAAGCCTGTGACTCGAAGCCCCGCACATGGATCCTGGAATGCCTAGAATTGTACAAGATCAACAGGACCTGTAGAGCCTTCATCAGGAACTCAATGGGGATGTGCCAACAACACTAGATGCCAATTTCAAGCCCATAGCACAAGTCACCATCAAGTGTGGGACCTATTAAGGAGATGCTATGTCCCCACAGCTGTTCTGCATAGGCCTGGACCCCCTCAGTGAGATCATCAACAAAACTGGCTGCGGATACGACTATGGAACGGAGAAATCGTCAGCCACCTCCTGTACATGGATGACATCAAGCTGTATGACAAGAGTGAACGAGACATCGATTCACTGATCCACACCACCAGGATATACAGCAATGACATCGGAATGTCGTTCAGGCTAGAGAAGTGCAGACAGATGATAACAAAGAGAGGGAAGGTAGTCAGAACTGAGGGGATGAAGCTACCAGAAGGAAATATTGCAGACACTGAGGACAGCTACAAGTATCTGGGCATCCCACAGGCATCCCACACGAAGAGGCTGCTAAGAAAGCTGCAACCACTAAGTATCTGCAGAGGGTCAGGCAAGTCCTGAGAATCAGCTGAACGGTAGAACAAAATCTGGGTTATCAACACCTACGCCCTGCCTGTGATCAGGTACCCTGCTGCTGTTATAATAAGGAGGAAATAGAAGCCAGTGACATCAAGACGAGAAAGCTCCTAAACATGCATGGAGGGTTTTACCCCAAGTCCAGCACCCTGAGACTGTATGCTAAGCGGAACGAAGGAGGCCGGGGACTGGTGAGTGTCAGTACCACAGTTCAGGATAAGGCAGCAAACATCCACAAATACATCAGGAAGATGTGCTCAGTGAATATCTCAGGGAGCAGAAATGCACCAAAGAGGAGCAAGAGGAGGAACCATCATGGAAGGACAGGCCCCTGCACAGCATGTACCACCAGCAGATAAAGGAAGTGACTGACATCCAGAAGTCCTACCAGTGGCTGGACAAAGCTGGACTGAAAGATAGCACAGAAGCACTAATCATGGCAGCACAGGAACAAGCTCTGAGCACAAGATCCAGAGGCTGGGGTCTATCACACCAGGCTGTGTAAAGATGCCTCCTGAGATAATCCAGCACATAACAGCAGGATGTAAGATGCTAGCAGGCAGGGCATACATGGAACACCATAACCAAGTGGCCGACATAGTGTACAGAAACATATGCGCCGAATATGGCCTGGAAGTCCCTAGGTCAAAATGGGAGACGCCCACTAGGGTTGTGGAGAATGGCCGAGCTAAGATCCTGTGGGACTTCCAGACACAGACGGACAAAATGGTGGTGGCTAACCAACAAGCAGTGGAAGACAGCCATAGTGATAGACGTAGCAATACCAAATGACATCAACATCAGGAAGAAGAAACACGAGAATCTAGAGAAGTACCAAGGGCTCAGAGAAGAGCTTGAGAAGATGTGGAGGGTGAAGGTAACAGTGGTCCCACTGGTAATCGGAGCAATTTGTGCAGTGACCCCCCCCCCCCAAGCTAGGCAAGTGGCTCCAGCAGATCCCAAGAACAACATCTGAGATCTCTGTTCAGAAGAGCGCAGTCCTAGCAAACTGCAAACGGCAACTGTGCAGGACCCTCAAGCTTCCAAGCCTCTAGTAGAGGACCCAAGCTTGAAGGATAGATCGCAGGGGAGATAGGGGAATTTTTATGTATATGTATTTTAAAAAGTGCTTAAATGTCAGTCAATCATTTCTCAAGAACATCAATTCTTGAAATGCCACAGTTTAATCATTAAAAATGAATTAGTAAATCCAGCACAGACAGATACAGATGTAAATAAAACTCAGAATGCTCACTCCATAAACTCCACACTCATCCTTTCACTCCAAGCCTGCTCTTCCCTGGTGGCTGCGGTCCCAGCTGGATGTAAGGCTGGAAGACTCCTCACATACCAAACAGGAGTATCCACATAAGACACCTAAATATACCTCCAGAACAACGTCATCCTTCATTTACCTTTTGTCTCCCACCTGCCTCATCCCTCTTTCCACCTCTGTCCCCCCTCACCCAGCCCAGAAAAACCAAACAGAAAAATATTTTAGCTGAATCCAGCACAGAGTTTTGTGGATATCATTCGAATATCAAAGCCTGCCAGAAGCAGAACAGAATCTGAAGCGTCTGCCAGCGCAAGAAACAAAACCTAATTAAAGTCCATAAAGTTCTACAGATAGAACGGGAGGATATTTATTCTAAAGTTCAGACAGAGTCTCATTAGCACACAGTGCACACACACACACACACACACACACACACACACACACACACACACACACACTAACTGTACTGTTGTTGTCTAATTTAACTGCTTTGATTTGCTGAAGAAGGGCTCCACAACAGTCATTTTCTCTTTGTCACTGTCCAGATCTTTGCATAGACATAATATCAGCTGTCTGCTGTCCAGGCATTTTCTTTTGCGTCACACAAACCTTGTAAAAATATACATGGCAGAAGTTGAGAATCTCACATTAAACCTATCTTTTAATAGTATGGGGAGCCTCTGGGGTGTTTTGCTTCTGTCTTTCTAACTACTTCTCATTCTCTTTCTTCCTCAGTGCCTTCCAACTATTCATATGTACCCAATTAGTATGTAGAGAATCGTCTACACAGCCTCAAAGGCAAGTGTGATACATCCCATGGTGCAGTGCCAATAAAAGCCAGTCACAGAAGAATTTCACAGACTTTTGCCTCTATTGCAATTCTGTCAGTGAAGAAATAAGAAAGCTGGAACTTTGGAAATAAGCTTTTGCCAGCCATTATGGGAACAGATGCTGATATGCATGTATCAATTCCAACTCATCAGTATGGGTAAGCATATTAAAGGGCATGAGTAAAAAAGAAAAAAAAAAACCTTTACATTTTAAGCTTTAGTGTCAACGTGACAGCATAATGGCTTTGTTGCTTTAAAGCTGGATGCTAGTTTAATGTCCAGTGTACAGACTTACACCTGGATTTCAGTCCTTCTGCTCCTAATACTCTAGATAGGTTAAATGCAGATAATGAATCTTGATCATAATTTTTAAATAAACTGTTAAGTGATCTAATGTATGACACAGCCATGGTTGTAATCCCTTATATTTATGCATCCTTCAATCCATATTTCTAACAAACCGAATATATTGCAAGATCAGAAAAAAAATCATGAATATATTTCACTACTTATTCCAGTCTCTGACAAACTCTGTCTCACTGTAAAATAAATAAATAAATAAATAAATAAATAAATAAATCCTTGTTCTGATTGCACAAAAATAGGACCAAGAGTGGAATCTAACACAATCACAGACACACTGGTCAGTCTCAGTGTTGAAACAGCTTTGCTATACCGTGCAAACTCACACCTCACTCTGTTTGACTGACCGGACCCTTAAAAAGACAGACCTGCTCACAGTGCAGCTGACAGTTATCGGCAAAGAGGGTGTCGAGAGAAATCCCCCAGATGTTACGGACTGGAACGTGTGATAATGACACAGCAGCAGTTGTAGATTCCTGCCAGCAGAGGGAAGCATGCACATGACAAAACAAGTTTCCTTGCTCATGAACCAGCTGTTAGAGCCATGGTTTGCTCTTTTTATACTTAGCCATCATGCCTGAAGTAGATGAACAATATTATGGCAATCTGTGCAAAATAAGATACATATTTATGCAGATGTATAAATACACATTATTCCATTAATTGTTCAGTACATATCAAAGTACTGTTATGTCTTTTATTCCAGAAATTATACCTCAGTCTTTTATTTTTGAATTCCACAGTGAAGTGTTGAAGCTGCTGCTGCATTTTTACAATAATGTCATGAAACATTATTGTAGACAACAGGGAAAACAGACCCACAAACGGGTCTGGGGTATAATATTTATTGGTATGGATGACCTTATAAACAGACAAGCCATAAATAAATGGGTCATGAGTCATATTATTCATCAGACAGGCCACCCACTGAACTACTAGTTAAAAGCACCGCTGCAAAGTAATGGAGTTGAGATAGCCTGTGTGTTTTCAGTTCAGTGTGTGTGAAGAAGAAAAGAGGGAGGGAGGGACGAGAGGACAAGTAGGGGCTATGCTGGAAAAGTGAATGAAGTGAACAGACTTCTGCTGAGAAAAGAGTGAGAGGGTTGGGGAGAAGAAGAAGAGGGAAAAAAGCAGAACGAAGACGCCTCTGAGCAGAGCGATGGAGGACTCGTAGATGAAGAGGCTGGAATCGCATGCAGAGTGGTTAAATAAGGGGGAGGGTTAACAGCGTACCTTGTTGCAGATGAGTCCTGTAGCGCTCGAGTCGGAGGCAGACATGATGCTCCTGCCAGCGCTTTCTTCCCCCCATTGCAATGAAAAAGCGGAACCCTCCTCCCCTCAGCCCGTGGTAACAGTGGGGAGAGAGGGAGGTGCGCGATGCCTAAGTGCTTCACAACCACTGCTGCGCTGCCTCAACAGTCATTTCCTATACAAAATTGATGCCCTGACTGCAGCACTGTTGTGTACACGCCCGCATGCTGGTATTGTGTAGTTTCTTGCTTTAGCTGCAAGTCAGACTTCATGTAATAAATTTAAAGAAAAAAAAAAGATCTTTTCTCTGCTCATCTTTGCTCTCCCTTGGGTTGCCCTTCTCTGCCACAAATCTCATGCAGCCCTCTCCAGCATCATATTCACAACCCTTTCAGGTTTTTCCATACCTCCCTCTTATGTAAGTTCAGGTATTAAGAGATCCTGAAAAAGATACACATATATCTATATAAAATCAACAACTACATTGCTGGAGTGGTGTTTACTCTCACTGTGCAGTGTATAATTTTTTACTGGGCACAGGGAGAACTTCTAAAAATAAAGCAGAACAAAGGATAAGCTTGTAAGCCTCGATAAGTAAAAATAACAATGGCTGAGCAAAGGAAAGCTTAAAAATAGTCTCTGATTGTCATTCCTCTGCCAATTGGTATCTTCCCTTATTGCACAGGAAAAGCAAAATGAATAAAACTCAGAAATGCAGAGGATGTAAAGCCGTTGATGAAAGAGAGGCGAACATGTGGATGCAGAAACAGGAAGAGAAGGCGAGAGGGGCGAGTAGGGTAGGGCTTGCCTGCTTGCCCTGCCCTGCACCATCCTCCTGACAGGAAGGTGATGCATGAGTCTACAAAACAGAATTGCATCGGTGAGTCAGCAAGCAGCCATCTAGAGTCCATCAGATGTCTTAATAAGCCAGAAAGAGACGTCTCCGTTGCAGAAGAAAGTCTCGTTCCTGGCGAGCCAGGCCTGGATGCCTGCTCTATATGTTGCCCCAGGCACTGAAGACCCTGATTTGGGGTCCATTGTGCTGGCAGCATGCATGCTCTCTCACCCTCACTGAACTTTCGCTGCTTAAGAATGAAGAAAGTGCACTCTGCCAAGGCTTTTAGGAAAAAAATGCCCTGGGGCTATATTTCTGTGTGGCTTTTTACAAGCAGGGAAGCATATACCATATTAACACACACACACGCACACACATAGAGACACACACATTATTAAAGTTATTGCAATAACTCTCCGATCCCTCAGCAGAGAAGATATGGTAGCTATATTTCCATCATTAGGGCTGTGGGTAAAACAGCCTCTGAGTAATGGCACCATACAATCATAAAGGGAGAGAGAGTTAGAAGGAATGAAAAAGAGGGCAAGAAACAAGCAAAGGCTAATATGAACTACATCGCAACAGAAAGAGAACTTAAACATGCGAGTTTTCAATACATTTTTAATGTCAAATCATTAGTCTGCTTTGCTACTGTTGATTCTTAGAGCTCTATATTTTCAAGCGAAATGGGTGGAGGTAGATTAAGAGAAAAAGATGACAGGAAATTGTGGGAGAAATGAAAAAATACAGAGATTTTTGAAGGAAACAGGCAGAGAAGAACACAGTCAGACTAGAACAGGAAGACAAGATTAAGAGAATATGTCTCTTTTTTTTGTTATTAATTTGCTGTTCAGGTGCTCTAAATATAGCTCTCCTCTCCTCACACTCCTCCCAACAGTGACTGGGCCTGGCAGCGGTGGGGGAGATAGCCGAGGGCTGTTTAAGTTAAAGTTCAGTGAGTTTTGATGAATTCCTTAAAGAAAGAGTAAAGCAGATTTGAGAATGGCTCAGCTACATTCACTGAAGCCAGACAGACAGTCTGAATATGAATGAGCCAATATGGGAAACAAGAGCAGGGATCTGTATAACTGTGCATGCACATGTGCGCTGTCTCTGCAGTAAAGGTGGGTTTATCTATATTGTATCTATTTTTAATATTGTGGTGCAGTTGTACCTTACAATAGCAATTTTGTTCAGATTTTACACAAGCCAATGAAGACAAAAAATGAAATTCATTTAGAGAAAGACAGAAACTCAAAGTGTACATTTTAAAGTAATTTTATATTTGTATATATGGTTTGTTTATCTTGAAGCAGGTGTCAAAAAATATAATAATATGGTTTTGGTAGTGAAATTCTTTGAGGGCGTAGTGTGACGGTTCACACATTTCGCCTGACAAGTAAAAAATCCTCTGTTAAGTCCTGGAAGGAGACACAAATCCTTTGGATCCCTTTTATCAGGAAGGGCACTCAGTGTAAAAGTCTGCGTAATCAAATATGCGGAGCTACCTGCTGTAGTGATCCCATTGTGAATAAAGAAGCACTGAAAGTAGTTTTATCAGTGGCATCCAAGTATCCAAGTACTGAATCCAAAAAAGGCAAAAAAACAAAACCCATAGTTAAATATTAGATTTTAAACCAGCTCAGTTTTTGAGCACGAGCAGATCTTTATTTGATACTCTCGCACGCCGTTACTTTCTATGATTATCTGTCTCTCTTTTTTCCAACCATACTCTTGTTCTGTAAACAATGTGAGAGGCCCTGTGCCATCTGGGCTTTAAAAAAACAGCTCCAGATCTTAACGACAAATATGGAGATTAACATGCTGGAACTCTGCAGTCAACTGCTCATCTTTCTGGCCTTGTAACTCATGAAAAGGCACCTTACTTTCTGTGAGAAGTGTTAGCTGAGGCAGCAGTACAGGGAAAGGTGGATCATTCAGAGCCAGAGAGAAATGCAACCAGAGTAGGGCAGAGTGGATCAATATGAGAGGCACACAGATTGATACTCCATACTGTCCTTTGCAGCTCCACCCTCCTCCTGCTCTAATGTTACCCCAGAATACTTTATCCCAGTCTTTAATGAGCCTCTGGAAAACCCTGCAGCCTATGAGGACACACTGATAAACAGCTGTTCTCTCAACACCAACTCCACTCTTTAAGGAGACCTAAGGAGTGATTACACCTTGCATTTGTCAGCTGCACAGATAAGTGCTGCGAATACAACACTGACGATGTAAATATGTGACTAGTTATGGATGGGTTGTCAGTGACGCTGGCATACAGTAGAAGAAGACGCAGCGAGCGTAGCCAGGAATATCTTTCATCCATGCTGACAACTTGGCCTTGCCGGCTACACTGTGCATCGTTAGACTTTCATCCCCCCGGGGATCCCTCAACCTGACTTCACCAAACTGCTTCAAAGCGCAGAGAGGCTGGAGCTAACCCACATAAAGCTGTGTACCGACGGTGCAGTGCAGAATTAAACAGAACTGCATCCTTCATTAAGTCAGATGTGTTTGTTAAAAGATGACCTGATTTAGGCTTTAGATTTGAGTTGGGCCTAATTGGTGTGTCTTGTTTAGTGCACCGAGCTAACTGGGGGGGATTTCAGACTTATCAATATGTAATGGTGGCCTACATACTCACGCAATCCAGCTTTACATTGAAAAAAAGTGTTTTCGCTCACGTTTAAGTCTCAAAACTATTCAGTGACTACACGGTGTAGGCGAGGAAAGATGTCAGTTAACAAAAGCGAATTAGATAGATACAGATGGATTTTCTAGATTAAACCAGTCCTATGGATACATGAAAGCACATTGTAGGCTATTGTCTTTTCTTTTATCAAGATAACAATGAGAACACCGGTGCACAGATTCTGGAGAGGACCTCAAAGAAGCTGGAACTGGAACCTTTGTGGTCCTCTCAACATTGCTGGTTCATCAAATTTAATCAAGGCTTTGCACACTGATGCACCAGCACACACACACACACACACACACATATATACGTGCACACACAAACACACACAAAGCACTTGGCTCCTCGCGGGACAGGCTTTTAGTGCTCTGTCTCATGCAGTATTTAATTGACCCCACACAGGAAGCCTAGCGGTCCCAAATGCACTCCTTCCCCCCACCAGCAGAGAAAGAAACGCTTGCGAGCATGCCCACAGCTTCCCACCATTGCTCCTCTTTCACACAACTGCACTAAATGCCATTTTCTGCTTTAGTGCAACATTTCCAGTGAAATGTGAGTGCTGAGGGTGAGGAATCTGGATATCCATCAGATCTGTTCACAGCGGTCAAATGGAGATCAAAATTCAGTCTTCCCCCACTTTAACAGCTGCAAACAACTCCACTCTTCAAACTTTCAATCAAAATTTAATGAGGAAAGATTTTTCCATTCTCTTTAAAGTCAGCCAAAATCTTTTATCATCTGAAAATCAGACCTGCTGTGAGGTCTGAGCAATTTGAGGCAAGGAATTTTGATGTAGAAGAGATAGCGCCATACTTACTCAGATAGAGGTAGGAGAGCAACACTCCCCGTCTCTCTTGCTTGCTCTCTCTGTGCTAGGCAGTCATGGTGTGCTCTCTCTCTTGTGTAACACTGAAGTGTACTGTAGCGTGCTTGTAAGCAGACTATCCCTCTCTCTTTCTTTACAGCCCCCCTCCTCTCCTATTCTCCACCACTCAGTACACAACCCTTCTCTACGTCAGTGAGGCTCTCTATGCTCCACATAGCATCCTCTCTCCTCCTCCTTAGTCTACCCTTCATCTCTACCTTGCCTGTCCGATGGGACTTTGTACCAAAAGCGCATGCTGGGTTCTTTCAGAACTCCACCATGATGCTTAAGGTGACTATGTGATGCAGCATCGGGTGGCACTGAGTCTTAAAGCAACAACCAAGGTAAACATGACTGGGATCCCTAGACACTTCAGAAGCACTCGAAGGGAAAAGCTGGAGTCATATTTAATTATACCATATCTGATTTTCTTGTAATTTTCACAAGTTTTTAACAAAAATACCATTGCCAGAATTATTTGGGCAAACCAATTTACGCTTGTACATAGTCGATGAGCAAGTAATTCCAAAATTAAGTGTTGTTGCGAAGTTCTTCCAAGATATCTGGTGATCACTGCCAAATTTGTATCAGTAGAGTTGTGATGAAAACTGATGACATAAATATGTACCATGTGTTGTAACTACATCCTTCTGTACGTTTTCTTATCTGCTTATCCAGCTATCCCACCTATCACAGGGCACAAGTGGGATACACCCCAAGCAGACATCTTTAAAATCACATATTAGCCCAACAAGCAGAACCTTCTTGCAGGGCTAACTGTATAGAGCACAGAGACAAAACCTCCAAGGGGGAAAAAAATCAAGCATTTCTACAGTCCTGTCACATTTTTCAGCCACTCTGGATTTCAACATCTCAAAAGCTAAAAGTTTAAAGAAGGGAGAAAGTCTGATGGTGATGAGAGGGATATGGGGGGCGATGTTCGACACGTGGAGGCGTCCCCGGTGTAGCCTGTGGTTCGCAGAGTGTGGTTCGCAGAGTGTGTTTTGCAGACGTCATGGATGGCTGTACTCTGACAGCTGCTCGGCTGGTGAGTGTGTGTGTTTTATGGGATGTGGGAGGTCTGCACAAACCAGGTTCATTCATTTGTGCTCACCACACCTTGCACCTTGTATCTATGTAAAAAAGCAGCAGATATGTCAAAGCCAAGTAGTCTCACACATGAAGGAGGACCATGGTTGGCTAGACAATCTCCAACAAGGCTGAGATTCATAATTCATAGGCTAGGTTGCAGAAAATAGTGAAACTGGAGGAGGAAAAAAAACAGAAGAGGGACACAGAGGAGGCATCCATTTTCATTCTGTGAATAAAAATATGAATGAATGAATGAAGGTTTGGAAGTTAAACAAAGGGAGAAAAGGAGGAGAGAAAGAGAGGAGCTTTAGGAGCTGCACCCAAGCATTGAGTGCAGATGTCTGTCAGTCTGTCCCATATGAAGCGCCTCTGTGGGCAGAGCTGCTGCTGGTGCATTATGGATGAGGAGCTATTTTAAGGCACTGGGGATGCTGCATTTTGATTTTTGAGTGGAGGGAAGCTGACTCCTTGCTGCCAAATCCTTTCATGAGGTTTATACAGTACTTGATGGGTTCAGACAAGCAGGTACAGAATGTGTTCCAGCACACCAAGAGGAGGGAGGAGGTAAACAGACTGGAATGTTATTGAAGTGAGCGAGAGTGTCACCACGCAGTGCTTCACACAGACAGTGTACTTCTTGCAGTGGCGAGCTGCGCACATGTACCTTACATAATCTCCGGTGAGGCTGTTCACTGAGAAGTTAACAAGCAGTGCACTGAGAAGTTGGTTCAAAGTGGTTCAGATATAATCACGAAAAAAAGTTTAAAAAAAGAAAAAAAGAAGAGGGATTTCAGAAGTTTACTGTGAAACTCATAATGTAAACCACAACTACAGATGTGCATGCAGCTACAGTTTGTTTTTTGTAACCTCTAGTACTTCACTCTCAAATGAACATTTGAAAGAGCCTTATTCCAAATAAAAGTTTTCTCTATACAAGAGAAAAGGTAATAGTTAAATATGTATAAAAAGTTAAATATGTATAAAAATGACTCCCCCCCCCCATTTTATTCATTGAAAAACGCTGTAAGCTGCTTTTTTTTTTTTTTTTTTCAAATAGAAAAAAACAGAATCAATATCTAAGATCTGATTTTGCATTGAGTGCTGAACATTTTGCACAGCAAATGTAGTTTTTGGGATGAGTGCCAAAAAGTCCTCAGCATGATGACAGAGAGACTTTTAGCACTTCATCGTAATGCAGAGGGACTGAGCGGACCTCCAGTAGTTTGCTTCCAGACACACAATGAAGCAGATGATGGACCTTTCCCAGCCAGCTGGCTGACAGTATGGTCAGAATTATGTATCCTGACTTTTCAGTCACCTTTAAGTCCAGACCCCCTGGGTGAGATTTCCTAATATCGTTTGGTGAATCATCTCACCATAGCTGCAGGTATATATTGATCTGTCTTTGTGAAATGCAACCTCCAGGAAAGAAGAGCTTTCAGAGCACCATGGTAACTTTGATTAAATTAGGCATAAAACATCACAAAATGAAACAACCTAAATAAGTGCAGATTGCTGCAGATGCAACATTATTACATTGATAATTTAGCAGAAATCTGATTTTTGTGTTTTCTATAAAGCACCTAAAGCAGATTAGATTATCAA